CGCAGATGGGTCGGACGCAGCGGCAACCTCCTCCACACCCGGGCCCTCACGGATCTCTCCCTCCGCCGAAGTGAAGCCGACCTCAGGAGGAAGATCGTCGTCGTCCGATGATGAAGCCGACGCCGGAGATGGGATATTCTTCTTCCTCAGTTGTTTCGCCATGCCGTTTCACTTCTGACTCCAGTGTAATAAAAGGACTCGAACACTTCTTTCTGTCTTCGTGTCTTTATTCAGGTTCACGTCTTTACCCACACGGCACTCTGTTATAACTCCTGTATTTGTAGCCCCCGGCTATTCACTGCTATTATAGCTTCCTCACCCCTCTGACTCTCTGCTTCATCTACTGTAACCTCCTCCCTGCAGACTTGCTGCTACCCCTATGTGCAGACCCTCTGGCTGTCACTGTATGCAGACCCGCTGCCCACTCTCTCTGTGCAGCCCCGCTGCTGACTGCAGCCTCCTTGCTGCTTCGGGTCGGTCACCGCTGGCCAACGGTGCCGATCCTCGCTTCCCCCGTGTTCGTGGCGATCTCGCCACACCCCGCTTCGCCCTACGTGGCCTTCCTCTGTTCCTGGCTCCCAGTCACTCCCCCTGCTCTTCCGGTTCCCCTCCTTCTATACTCAACCCCTCTCCCCCCACGTGACCTAACTCCTCCCCCCCTGACGGCACCTCAGAAGGGCCGTTTACAACCGCATTACATTTGCATAGACCGCAATACCTGCAGTCATAATCAGTGGCGGCTCGTCAATAGAGGGCGCAGGGGCGCCGCCCCCATCAATATTCCAGAAATATACATATACAAAATTTATATAAAAATACATAAATAAAATATTTTTTTCATACGATGTGCCGGCTGGTAGTAAGAAAAGCATCAGCATTTAATAAAAACTGGCTTTAATCGGTCAACTATTTTCTATGTTTTTCAATGTGTTTTATGCGGGGCGCCGGACAAATGGATGTCTATGTGAGACTTTACATTTTCGGACAGCATGTGACCTGAAGCTGGTCTCTAATTGGTTTCTTAAAGATTCTCCTCGGGGCGCAAGTCGTTGCGTCCCTGGCCAATCAGAATTGGATACATGTTATTTTATCCAATCTGATTGGTTCTCGTCACCTGTCATTCAAATTTACGCTGTAGGCCACTACTGCGAGTGCGAAGGCGACACCACTTTGACACTTGCTAGGCTGATCAAATTTTTTGTGTAAACAATGGCAGCAGTTCATCCAAATTCTGTAATTTATTTACAAAAAAACCCTTTCACAAGGCTTTCGCTGGAAGAAATAAAAAAGATAAAGGATCTCGGACCGGACCAACCCGATTTACAAATCCAGCAGCAGGCCAGTGACAGAGGACGAAGCTACACACGAAGCTTCACCCGCGCTTGTTATGAGAAACGGAGGTGGCTGGCTGGATGTGATGTTAGCAATTCTCTTTTTTGTTTTCCCTGTCTTTTATTTCAAAGTGTCGGCACTGAAGTTTTGTGGACAACGACGGGGGTAAGAGACCTCAAACATCTCTCTGACAAATGCAAACGTCATGAAAGTAGCCGCAGCCATATTGATAATAGCATGAAACTAACGTTTTTATGTTCAAGTAGGAAACATGCTTTTGGTACTTTGGTCTGAAATGTATATAAAAGAGAAACATTTATGTTCAAGTAGGAAACATGCTTTTTGGTACTTTGGTCTGAAATGTATATAAAAGAGAAACATTTATGTTCAAGTAGGAAACATGCTTTTTGGTACTTCTTTTGGTCTGAAATGTAAATAAAGATCATCAAAATTTATATTCAAGTAGTCAAAATGGCTTTTGGTACTGCTTTATATTTATTTGCCCCCCTCAATAAAATTTAAAAAATGCGCCCCCCCAAAAATAAATATCACCAGCCGCCACTGGTCATAATACAAACAAAAGAACATAACTCTGATAATGTGCACTGTCCTTGAAGTTGATTGGTCCACACCCGAGACAGCTTTCCTTCGAGCCTAGTCTCATATGGGTTGGACCAGATGACGCCAAAAGGCGCACAACTCAAGGACAATGCACCATCAGAGTATGAGAGCTCGGGGCAAGCATCTACACTATGGGGACCTCATTTGCCAGTAAAAATATGATAATTGGTTCTTTACCCTTCTATCTGGCAACAAAACTGACACCTTTTTGCAAGGAGTCATGTTTGCATAGACCGCAATACCTGCAGTCATAATACAAACAAAAGAACATAACTCTGATAATGTGCACTGTCCTTGAAGTTGATTGGTCCACACCCGAGACAGCTTTCCTTCGAGCCTAGTCTCATATGGGTTGGACCAGATGACGCCAAAAGGCGCACAACTCAAGGACAATGCACCATCAGAGTATGAGAGCTCGGGGCAAGCATCTACACTATGGGGACCTCATTTGCCAGTAAAAATATGATAATTGGTTCTTTACCCTTCTATCTGGCAACAAAACTGACACCTTTTTGCAAGGAGTCATGTTTGCATAGACCGCAATACCTGCAGTCATAATACAAACAAAAGAACATAACTCTGATAATGTGCACTGTCCTTGAAGTTGATTGGTCCACAACCGAGACAGCTTTCCTTCGAGCCTAGTCTCATATGGGTTGGACCAAATGACGCCAAAAGGCGCACAACTCAAGGACAATGCACCATCAGAGTATGAGAGCTCGGGGTAAGCATCTACACTATGGGGACCTCATTTGCTAGTAAAAATATGATAATTGGTTCTTTACCCTTCTATCTGGCAACAAAACTGACACCTTTTTGCAAGGAGTCATGTTTGCATAGACCGCAATACCTGCAGTCATAATACAAACAAAAGAACATAACTCTGATAATGTGCACTGTCCTTGAAGTTGATTGGTCCACACCCGAGACAGCTTTCCTTCGAGCCTAGTCTCATATGGGTTGGACCAGATGACGCCAAAAGGCGCACAACTCAAGGACAATGCACCATCAGAGTATGAGAGCTCGGGGCAAGCATCTACACTATGGGGACCTCATTTGCCAGTAAAAATATGATAATTGGTTCTTTACCCTTCTATCTGGCAACAAAACTGACACCTTTTTGCAAGGAGTCATGTTTGCATAGACCGCAATACCTGCAGTCATAATACAAACAAAAGAACATAACTCTGATAATGTGCACTGTCCTTGAAGTTGATTGGTCCACACCCGAGACAGCTTTCCTTCGAGCCTAGTCTCATATGGGTTGGACCAGATGACGCCAAAAGGCGCACAACGCAAAAAGATGTCAGTTTTGTTGCCAGATAGAAGGGTAAAGAACCAATTATCATATTTTTACTGGCAAATGAGGTCCCCATAGTGTAGATGCTTGCCCCGAGCTCTCATACTCTGATGGTGCATTGTCCTTGAGTTGTGCGCCTTTTGGCGTCATCTGGTCCAACCCATATGAGACTAGGCTCGAAGGAAAGCTGTCTCGGGTGTGGACCAATCAACTTCAAGGACAGTGCACATTATCAGAGTTATGTTCTTTTGTTTGTATTATGACTGCAGGTATTGCGGTCTATGCAAACATGACTCCTTGCAAAAAGGTGTCAGTTTTGTTGCCAGATAGAAGGGTAAAGAACCAATTATCATATTTTTACTGGCAAATGAGGTCCCCATAGTGTAGATGCTTGCCCCGAGCTCTCATACTCTGATGGTGCATTGTCCTTGAGTTGTGCGCCTTTTGGCGTCATCTGGTCCAACCCATATGAGACTATGCTCGAAGGAAAGCTGTCTCGGGTGTGGACCAATCAACTTCAAGGACAGTGCACATTATCAGAGTTATGTTCTTTTGTTTGTATTATGACTGCAGGTATTGCGGTCTATGCAAACATGACTCCTTGCAAAAAGGTGTCAGTTTTGTTGCCAGATAGAAGGGTAAAGAACCAATTATCATATTTTTACTGGCAAATGAGGTCCCCATAGTGTAGATGCTTGCCCCGAGCTCTCATACTCTGATGGTGCATTGTCCTTGAGTTGTGCGCCTTTTGGCGTCATCTGGTCCAACCCATATGAGACTAGGCTCGAAGGAAAGCTGTCTCGGGTGTGGACCAATCAACTTCAAGGACAGTGCACATTATCAGAGTTATGTTCTTTTGTTTGTATGACTGCAGGTATTGCGGTCTATGCAAACATGACTCCTTGCAAAAAGGTGTCAGTTTTGTTGCCAGATAGAAGGGTAAAGAACCAATTATCATATTTTTACTGGCAAATGAGGTCCCCATAGTGTATATGCTTGCCCCGAGCTCTCATACTCTGATGGTGCATTGTCCTTGAGTTGTGCGCCTTTTGGCGTCATCTGGTCCAACCCATATGAGACTAGGCTCGAAGGAAAGCTGTCTCGGGTGTGGACCAATCAACTTCAAGGACAGTGCACATTATCAGAGTTATGTTCTTTTGTTTGTATTATGACTGCAGGTATTGCGGTCTATGCAAACATGACTCCTTGCAAAAAGGTGTCAGTTTTGTTGCCAGATAGAAGGGTAAAGAACCAATTATCATATTTTTACTGGCAAATGAGGTCCCCATAGTGATGACATTCAATATAACACACTGAACTACGATGATACAAATTAAAATATTGCGGCTCATCAGAATCAGAATCTTTATCAGACTCAAACCTGAATCTTTATTTAGACTCGAGGAATCCGATGAGCTATGAAGCTCGTTTTCACAAATGTCCAGTATGATGAGAAGGGGACGTGAATCCCAGACCAATTAGGTACCCCACTCCACCGTCTGCCAGGAGTTCAATCCCAAGCTCAAATTTCCCAACCTCTCTTAACCTTGCTCAATTCAGGACATGTGTTGACACACATTTATTACGAATTTGACAATGCTGTTTGTTGCTGGCTCCTTGACATTTCGGGTCTTTGGGCCCATGCTCAGCGAACGTGTGAATTAAAAAAACCCGGTACATTCTAAAGAGTGACACTTTTGAGGGATCGTGAGCGCGCGAGAGTAAAAACATGTAACTCATGACTTACCAAGTGCTTGACTTTGGATTTTTCTCTCCGGGCATTCTTGGCCACACGAACCATGGCAGAGAGGTGCAGGGTGGCTGTCTCATCTACGTCACGCACTTCCTCCACTTGCCGAGTCAGCGTGTTCGCCGTCTGCTGCACAGACCTGCACACCGCAAGTGTTGGAGACGGATAGACACATAAGGAGAAAGGGTTACAGTTATGTTTATTGTTGGGGACAAAAGGATACAGTTAAGGCAGGGATAGGGTGAATGTGGTGGTATGAACATTGTGGGTTTCAACCTGCACGAGGGTGTTGTCATAACCGGGTTGCCGGGACAAGGGCCAATTATAATGCACAAGATGTTTGAATTTAAATACTCTGTAAAATAATGACGCTAAAGTCCATGGATTATCAGATTTCTTCATACTCACCAGGTGTTTACGTGGTGAATGTGCAGAAGGCACATCAACCAGGCACTCACAAGAGGTGGTTTCTTCCTCCAACCTTTGAGGCTCCATGCCCCTAGCAGGGTCAGCTTCCCCCTTTTAACCACTTCTGCAAATTTGTGCCAACTGATGTCGATCCCACTTAGGGCTTCATCTCTATTCTCGGCAATACATGTATTGCACACTGGCATGTACTGCACATTAGCCCCCTATGCAAGGTCACAGAGCCGTCACACCTCAAGTTCTTCTTGATCAAGTTGAGGTCATTGGTCAGCTCTTTATTGTCGGCAGACAGCTCGGCATTGTCCAGCGTCTGTCTGCGCGCCTCGGCCTGAGCCTCCACGAGCCGCTCCTTCAGCAGCTGCTCGTCAGCCATGTGCCGGTCCACCTCCTCCTTGAGCTCTCTGTAACAAATTACAACCGCAGCTCACTCGAGCCCACCAGTGGGACAGCTCGACCCTAGTTGTGTAGTCACGTGGTGTCCGCGTGACGCGACCACCGCGGGGCTCCGCGCACGCTTGTAAGATGGGAGGTGCGGCATCGGTAATTGTCGACGTGCGATGCGCACAGGTAGAGACGGCACTGCCTACGCCCCCGTCGGTCTGTCCCGCTGTCCGCCCCCTCCTGGCGCCCGCCGCGTACCGCGTGAGGGAGGCGACCAGGTGCTCATGCTCCTCCTTGCTGACGCGGCCGGCGAGTCGCTCGGTGAGCTGGGCCCGCAAGCGCCGCTCACTCGCCAGATCCTGCTCCAGCGCATCCCTCTCGTCCTGCTTGGCCACCAAGAGCCGCGTCATCTCGCCCACTGAAGATCGTGCCAGCACAGCAGTTCGTCACGACAGGAAGGTCTGTATCACTGCATGGATCGCAGAGCTGGGGTTTAAGATGGCAACTAGAAAACGCGTGCAAGGCCTGACAGAGTGGCAGCCGAGGAATGGTAGGTGTCGGAGAAGGCGTCAGCGAAGGAGATTGGGAAATAAGATGAGTTCATGTGCAGGTGCTGGGTGAAATATGACATCGCAGGATCGTGAGAGGTGATGATGGAGGTCTCATGTGTACAGTATTGTACGCTACATTAATGTTTTAAATTCTATGCATTTACGTGGGAAAATATCAATCATATTTTACATTCAAAATACTTCCCGTTTAATGTTTTGGTTGATGTAGGGTAACATAAAACAAAAGGAGGGGGTGGGGCGTCGTATTACGAACCGTGAACCAAACCCTCATCATCCCATTCCCCTTTGAGTTTGAGGATCGCGGATTTGCCGATTGCGACTATCTGCAAGAACGTAACCCCCACCCCCCGCCGCCCCCCGTTGACGGACGAGGGGCTTGCTGCGTTTACTTGCGCTCTCGTGCTTGCGGCGCGTGTCCTCGCACGCCTCCCCGTGGGCTCTCCGCTGCAGGCCGAGCTGGTCGAGCAGCACCTTGTTCTCCTCCACCACCAGCTGGGCCTGCTCCCGCATGAGCCGCCTGTCACGGGGTCACAACCGTCACAGCGGTGTGAAACTCACCGCCACCCGAGCCCTCGCGTGAGTTTCAATCCCGTCTCCCGAGACCAAATCTTGTCCAGGAAACAAATCGGCATTGTAAGCGATTAGGGTGTGTGGTGGTGTATATAGTTAAACATTATATAAACGCACAGGTGTCTTGGCAAAAAAAGTACTTTTAGTAACGTTGAAGTTCTGTGCAAAACTAGTTACTACTGGCCAAGACTAATTAGAGAATCGATCAAAATTGAGAGAAATAAAAATAATTTTAACCGTTCGGATAGTTACAGGCTTGGAAGCGATTTATCAAGTAATATAGTTAAACTGAATGCCTATACAGGTCACCATACGTCGATGGGGATGACCTGTGAGCAGGCAATAAGAGATACTGCTATTTCCGTGCACACAAACAACCTGGCGACCGTAGTTCGATTCCTACTCACGGCCCAGACCTGTGATGATTATCTGAACTGATGTTCGTAAGTCAAGGAATATCCTGTATACATAATTATGTATATAGAAAAAAAAAGATTTGACCTGAAGAATACAAGTTTTAAGTGAGCAACATTTCTCCGATACTGTTATTGTAATTTTCTGGACAGGTGGAAAAGTGGCAGAGGCCTTGACCCACATTTGGAATCGTTGTTAATTCAAATTGTAGTCAGAAATTTAGCTCATCATCCTTCAGGGGTCACTAAGCCGAGTATCTAAGCGGGAAGACAAAACTGGTTCAGGATGAGCATCGGCCAGTGACCACTTGCTTAGGAAAAGCAGGCCGAGGTTCGGCTTGCTACCAGGGGGAGCTCGCGATTCCCTCCTCCTCCTCACCGCTCCTCAGCACGCTCCTCGCTCTCCGCCAGCAACTTCTGCAGCTTCAGCTGCAGCTCCTCGTTCTCGTCCGCCACCTTCTCCGTGCGCGTGCGCAGGGCCTGCAGCTCCTCCTGCAAGAATTGTCAGCCGGTGCGGCGACAGAAACACGACTGTGAGAGAGCAACTGGCGGCACACACACGCACGCACTCAGGCGTTAAGACCCAGAGTGGACTACAAGTGTTGTTAAGAACAATGAACCAACCAAACTCCATCTCCTTTCTCCCTCCATGGACTCCCTTTATAAGGTTGGACATGAATCCCTTATTAAGCGATTTCATGCAAACAATATTATTTTTACACCATTGGAACCTCCTTTGCCAGTAGCTAAATATGATAATTGGTTTTTTATCCTTTTATCTGGCAACAAAACTGACACCTTTTTTACAAGGAGTCATGTTTGCATAGACCACAATATCTGCAGTCGGAATGCAGACAAAAAACACAACTCTGATAATGTTATTATATTATTTTTATATTAAGCTGGGGTTCTTCTCTAGACATTGGATGATAGTCAGTATAACAGATAGGCTCTGAGCCTATGGGTCTCTCCTGTGACATGGCAGTATATATTAAAAAAGACTTCCCTTCATCCCAGCTATTTCATACGTTTCATCGACAACTCAATGTCCTTTTGCATTAGAATGATATATGAATTCTGTCATGTAATCTACGAGCTAGAATAGGGCTGGGGCCAATGAAGGGAGTCAAGATGAAGTGGGACCTTAATGAACTGTGAACCAGTCAAAAACGTGGCTTTTGGGTTGAGAAGCAGAGTGCACAGTTTGGGATGCTGTATTTGGGTGTTTGATTTGTAAAGAGGTGTAATAGTAACAGCCTTTTAGTGCTGTAACCATTGCAAAAGTGCTGTATAGTTTGGGACTCGGAGTAATATCTCAGGTGGGAGGATTAAGTCCAATGTGAGATGAGCATAATGCGGACTAGTGCTTCCCAAAATAAGGCAAGCTTCTGCTGGAACCGCAAATATATATCCACAATGTGGACTTATAACATTTCATACACGGAAACCACCATAACTATCTAACGTTCAAGGGAAACCTTAAACAACCTAACACAGAGTTAAAATGGTTAAATATTAATTTTAACAAAAATATTAAATGAGACTGAACACGTAGGTGAAGCTAAATATTTGCAAAATAATTTTTTTTTATTGCATTTTACTCAAAAACAATACGACACAATGCAATGTTGCTGTACTTAGCTACTTAATGTGACTGCCATCTCAAGATGCTGTGAGTCGGGGAGGTTTACATGACAGAGAGAAGGGGGCCACGATGTATTGTGAATGAAGTAGAAGACATTTGATGGTGAGAGGCAGGAGGTGATAATCAGAGAAGGGGAATGTCTGCACTAAAACAGGGACACAAAGTTGGCAGTGCAGACCATAAGAGTGGAGCTTCATCAGCCAGAGGGGCAGCAGAGGAGAAAGAGTGAACGCCCACTGAAGGATATCGACAAAAGTTCTTGGGCCCTGGAGCAGAGGTTATGCAATGGGTAGCCAAGTGAGTTGAGAGAGAAGAAGTTGACAGGAATGAGCAACATGCAGGATTTTTAAGTGAGCCTTTTAATTGTGGTCAGTCGGCACTTTACCTTGAAGAGGCAAATTATGTCTTCCTTCTCTTGAAGGACAATGTCATACTCCAGGATGAGAGGAGATAGCGTCCTCACATCCACCTGTACACACAAAGCCCAAGTACATTGGCAAAATAATAAAACATCACTTAACCTGTCCTCTGTACATTAGAAAATAATTATTCTGCCAATTCATGGCAGAATTGTAGCCAAATTGGTGGAATTTATGGAAATGTGCCCATTTATCGTGTTAATAGCTACCATTCCCTCAATATGCAGGGGGGTCATGTTAATTTACAACTGTAGGTCTGGACTCTGTTATAGATTAAGAAAATAAGTAACTAGGCAGAAGGATTACCAGCCAGGGAGGGATTGGTCCTTTGAAGCGCAGAACATTTGGCGTCTTATTCTGTGAAATGAAAGGGCACCATTGCATTATAGGTGACAACATAGCAACAACGATGATTAGAATTAGAATTATTGAAAGATTGCAACATTTGTGATCTGTAATAATTATACAACTATGAATGTATGTTTTGCCATTCCACTTATAAATTGAGAACCAAAAATAGTATAAGAGTGAACGACATACCTAAGAGCAGCAAAACATCCCTATCAACATTCTAATTTGTTTTATTTGAGAACGCACGGCTTGACCTGGAGAGCAAGAACATTTCATGCAGTGTTTGGATTGTTGTGTTTGTTCAATAAAGACACTTATTGATGGATGTATGAATTACACTATATTTTCATATCATTCTGTCAACTTAGAATATCAATAATTAAAATATCTACTGAAAGATATGTATTTTCATCATCGACATCACCACACACTTATTGATGCAATGCGAGGTGTTTGTCAATCGTTCGGCTTTGACCCGGGGAACCCAAAGTGGCGCAAGGACGAGGCCCTGCGTACATGGACGCCTTGCTGTGTACACGGCCACGGTAGAGGGATCGCACGCGAGGCGCTGCCAGAGCAAATACATTCATATTGACCGCAGTTTATGAAAGGCAATGTATACAAGATAAACACGAGTACACTATCTATTCTGTTTCCTAGATGTTAGTCATACAGCAGCACATTATTAGATTAGCCAAGCAAGTCAAAGGGTCTCCATGCTCAAATAAGCGTGTGGACGTTTTATGGCCAGCGATGGAAATTCCAGACTGGCAAATGTGGCAAAGGGTCACCTCTTCTCTCGTGAGAGGGCGGAACGTGGCTTGGTAGCGGCTCAACACCACGTTCAGCCTGTGCACTATCTCGTTCAGGGAGACCACCTCCTCCTGGGCACGGTCATTCGACTCCTCGTCTGCCGACGGCATATCCATAGGCAAGCTGTTAGTGCGAGCACGCGTGTGGGAATCGGCAAAAGAACGAGCAGGTCTCCTTGCTCCGGCAAGCACGCCTATAGAGCACCAACAGCCGCCATTCGCCACTAAGTGGCGGTGATGTCACCATGGTGCCTGTGCCAGGCCAAGTGCACTTCGAGGCCACGTGAAGTGTCGAAGGCTCGCTGCTGGCAGGAGGTCACAGGACAGACCCAGCTGCCATGGGTTGACTGACTGAGATGACTGGCAGATGCACCACCTGTGCCCGCTACTGTGACAACTTGCTGCATTTTAACTGCCCGGCGCTCCGTTCGTTGTTGTGAGCATCGCTCCTCTGCCCTCCTTTATTGCTGGAAGGCGAGTGCCTCCAACTGCCCAGAAGCGTCCTTCACGAGCCTCCTCCATACGAGACATGCCCTCAAGCATCCGACACCTGTTGTACACAAACTGCACGCCCTTCTCAGTTCAAGTCCAAAAGAGTACTTGATCATATCCACCCAGTGTGAATGGCCCACACCTGTGCAGATCCCCACTCAAGCCGTGAGCAATCGAGCGAGACGCACAATGTGCAGGACTGCCAGTCCTGAGCACAGAAAGCAGGTAGGGTATAGCCCAGCCTGTATGAAGGTGAGATGTGCAAGCTGTTGCGACTCTGGTGGCTAATAATTGCTTCTGAAAAATGCTGGTGATCAATTACAAGTTGCCCCCTTTATGTATATTTTAGACAATCAAAACAAGGGAATATTTCAGGAACTGCAATGGCAACGGAGTACGAAACACAGTCAATAATAAATCCACTTGTATCATTAACAAGCAATGGTTGAAACACTGATATATAAAGTAGGTTTTTTATATATATCTTAGGACTCATTGAGTCTCAAGATTATTTATCATGAGGATCCTAGATTTGGATTTTTGCACAATGTCCCTTCTATAAAATCATATTGAAGCTGTGGCTATGGTTCAATACGCATTGGGCAGTGCTCCTCCTGAATGGTAAACATTCCACATACATATGGGGCCGGTTTCCCTATGGGACAAATGCTGTTGATGCCCCAGAAAGTTATACTTATTTTATCGACTGCAGGAGGATGATGGGCTGTATCAACCGTCAAATGGGATTTAAACTCACAAATTACAAGCGGGAATCAAGCACGCTCGATCAATTGATAAAAGGCATTTGATTCATAACAAAATAATCAAAAACATACAGACATTCATCGTGGGCCTCCCCATGCTCTATCAGTACAGCAAAGCAGGGGGAGCCAGGACTGGTTCAGGTATCATTCGCCACTGAAATTAGCCGTGGCCAAAAATCAAACTCATGTTGTCAATTCAGTAAAGTCACGTAGGTAAAAAATAAATAAATGAAAAACAACTAAATAAAATCACGACGTTTCGGAGGCAACACAAGCTTCCGTCTTCAGGCGGAACCGTTACAGCCAAAATCACTGTCGTAAGTGATTACAGCCAAAATCACTGTCGTAAGTCATCACTTACGACAGTGATTTTGGCTGTAACGGTTCCGCCTGAAGACGGAAGCTTGTGTTGCCTCCGAAACGTCGTGATTTAATTTAGATGTTTTTCATTTATTTATTTTTTACCTACGTGACTTTACCGAAAAAGCCAAAGAGTATGAATCCTTTCGGTCACGAAAACTTCAAATCTAGAATCATGTTGTAAAGTTTATAGCACAGTGTACTAACCCACTGCGCCACCTCTCCCCTGATCAACAACGAGCATAGCATTCAGGACTTGTGTTATGGTGTGTGTGTTGCTGCCATTGCGATGAAGTCAAAAGCTCATTACCAACTCCTCTTCCTGCAAGCCTTCTGTTCCCCTTCATCTGTTCACGCAGGGCATGTAGTTCCTCCTGCAAACAGATGGCTCGAATCATTCACAGAGAATGAGGTGGCCGAATGGGGAATAGTCTTGGAAGGAGAAGAACTTTGTGTTTGAAGAGACTGTCATTTAACAAAATGTCTCTCTGTTATAAAAGTGTGTTGTTATTTGACATATCTATAAGGTGCATCCGTGGCATCCGATGAGCACAGAACACACTGAGCATGGTTGAAGAAGTTCACCAAGAATCAGTTTCGAGCAATGAGCCCAGTGGATAAGTAACAAATACCCTGCCTTTGTATTACATATTGCACTGTTTAAAAATTAACCCCTAAAAACAAAGTTTTTCACTATAAATCCTGTATATGCGTGGCGGCTAGAGTCCTCCTGCCACCATTAAGCAATTGGTAATTAAATATAATTTATTTTTTCCTAAAAAAAAAAAAATTTCACGAAAATAAATTGTCACGCACAACGAGTCTGTGTGCAAAATGTCAGCTCGATTGGATCACGGAAAGATTTGCACGGTTGTAAGCGCGCAAGCAAGCAAGCAAGTGAACTTAATATAAAGGTTTTAAAAATATACACCGTTGGATACGTAATAAATAGCATACGTAACAAATAACTTTTTATTTTATATATTGCACTTGTTTGAATATATTGTACATTATAATATGTGAACCCAATTTACAGGTCTTATCTTATAAATAGCCAGTGAACTAAGCTCTAAATGTTTCCAATTGTCATATTTGCATCACAAAATGCACAATATTTACACGTACCCATCGGGCTATAGCAAACATCAGATTTTCAGAAGGTTGTCCATAGAGTGTAAATATCAGCTGTACCTCGTAATTGCGTATCATCTCTTCCTTCTGCTGAAGCTCCTTGTCATACTCCAGCAGAAGAGGGGGCATGTGCTGCACGTCCACCTGCACAGGACAGATGCTCGGGCCAAGGAAACTCGTTGTAGCATAAAACCTGGGCCTAACCGGCTGAATAAGACTCCAGCTAGAACCAGGCCTACACCAACCCCTCTTTAACCTCTCCCACCTGTTCTCCTAACTAGCACCATAACTACTACACTTTAAATCCCCACATATGGTATAAGCCACTTCGATGACCTATCATGTGTGGCCAGGTTACCTGTGCAAAAGAGATAATGGCTCAGTGGGTTTTACCTGGTAAATAAAATACGGGAGTTTATTCATGTTTTAGCTGAGGTACCTTTTCAGCTGATAATTGGGGGAGACGTTCCAATTTCTCCACGTACCGACAATGCGGCAAATCGCCACAGTTGATTTATTTTGGCAACATGGGAATATGACCCAAACTATCTCAAGTACAAGCTATGAAAATAAGTCCTAACAACCTGCTGTTAGCCTCATTCTGACACTCCATGTCCTAATGACCTAATCTATATGAAGTATTCATGCATGGACACATAAGTGTGTGGAGGCAGGGTTGGTGTCATAGAATTGCACTTTTTCTAAGTCATAAATTCAACACTTTTAGGGGTAAACGAGTCGGTGCTTACTTTTACTATCGTTCTTATTTTAATTTTAATGTTTTTACCCCCGCTTCAAGATGATATGTGATACATTGATGCTAGGTTTTTAAGAAGTTTGCAGTACAGCATTTCTTTTTTCCGATTCATGACACAAGCTGACAGTTCTTTGGATAAGCAAAAACGTGGATAATTTGAATATCAGCCTCTTATCCACAATATATAAACATTGTTTGCAATTATCAACATATCCCATCAGAAATCACCTCATAAGCACAAAGACATGATCCTAAAAGTAGCTATAGTTGAAAAAGAGAAGGCAGTTTTCCATCTCGGTGGCAGACTCATTGGTACAACACTGTACTGCAAAACAACCAATGAACCTTTCAGCTTGAAAAAGATGATAGGCTGTATGACTTCCGTTTAGAATGGAACCGTCTTGAAGCCAGGTGTGTGATAAACAACGAATAAGGCCCAGAGGATTACCAGCCATGGAGGGAGGGGCCCTTTGAAGCATAATCCATTTGCCTTCTTCTTCCTCTGTGGGATTAAAGGAAAAGGAGTCAACTTATGTCCCTGTGATGAATCACAGCAGGAAAGCTCAAAGTGTAGCATGCCCTATGGTCCTGAGCAGGTGGACACAATTCCACATTCCTAGCTAGGCAAGTAGCTGAGAAACATGCTTCCCAGCATGCACACGTGTTTCCCTATCATGGAATCCTCAAGTTATTTTGCATATATTTAACGGAATGGCCAGGAGGACAATTGTGTACACCTGGAAGAATCATGAACCTCCATTATTCTCCGTGTGAACTAACACACTATTTCAGTCGAGCATCCATAGAACATTTAAGCGACAGTAACTTGAATAAGCAAGGGAATGTTGGCACAGTGGTTAGTGTACCCTGATACGAAATCGACAACCTGAGATCAATTCCTGGCTAACATCAGTGGTGAGTGATTTCTGCACCAGTCCTTGGCTCCACATCCATTCACCAACCTGCATTCACCAATGTAGTGAGGTATGGTCAAACAACCACCATGACTGAGACAGAGTGGGAAGGCCTTCATCCAACAGTGAACAAAGGCTGTACGTTATCCCTACTCTCATTCACTTAAATAAAATGGGATTATGGTCTCCGTCCATTTAAACTCCTGCTCAGCATCACTCCCCAATAAAATGTAATGCTTCTTCAAACAAACTTCCTTTTATTCATATTCTTCCTCTGTGGGCTATAAAAAACATTTCCCGTTCTCAGTAGAGAAATTTATGCCACCCATCCTTCCTCTTTTCCTCCCCCACAATTTCCCATTTTAAACCGCCGTATCTCTTGCTGCCGTTATGAAATTGAACATTATCTAGAGTGAAAGTCAATTAGCACACATTTTGTGAACGTCGAATGTGCAGGTCAGCATAGTGTTATATTTTTTCATTGATGGTGCCTGATTCCAGCGGCCTTTAATGATGAGACACCACTGGGTTATTAGTTATTTTAGCGACCACCTGCTCAATCAATTTCACCTGGTATCTGAGTTGATGATCTTAGAATTGAGTGACGCACTTTCCTGGGTAAGCATTTCGTGTTGTTTTTAGAAGTTAATAGTGAACGTTGTTATAATGAGCATGCCAGTGACTTTCTAGGATGCATACAAAAATACAATTTCATATTTTCAGCAATCATTTTCCTGTGTGAACGGTAAATATACTTAGCTTCACCTAATAAAAGATATTATCATAAAATATATTCAAATCACGTGTTTCTCACGTGGTCGCAAAAGATGTGAAAATTTTGAGATTGTTTCTAGAAAATGATTACACGTACACATTACCATAGTTAAATTAGAAGACCCATTAATACATAAATACACAATCATTTATTTTTACCTACATATCTCCAACATCCACATTTATAAGTGTAAAGTACCTTCACCAAGGCTCTTCATGTCCACCGTGTGTGCACAAATAAAAAAAGCCAACAACCCACAATGTGTGGGGGTCACACAGTATCATTGTCATAATTGACCCTCGAATTGACCTAAGTCTTTTCTACATTCAGGAAAATGTAGCCGAGATGTTAAGAAAAAAAATCTAACGTGAGCACTTCCTCCTGGTAGTAAGCATGTACAGTAAAACCTTGGATTGCGAGCATAATTCGTTCCGGAAACGTGCTTGTAATCCAAAGCACTCGTATATCAAAGCACTCGTATATCAGTTGTGGTCACGTGACGCTCGGCAGACAAAGCGTATACGTACTACTCGTATTGCAAGACCTCGCTCGTTTATCAAATTAATATTTATAAAAAAATGTTGCTCGTCTTGCAAAACACTCGCAGACCAGGTTACTTGCAATCCAAGGGTTTACTGTACATACACCAGGGGGGGGGGGGGTTACCTCTTCTTTTGTCAGAGGGCGGAAGGTGGCCTGGTAGCGACTGAGCAGCACGTTCAGCCTGTGCACCATCCCCTTCAGAGTGGCCACGTCGTCTGGGACAGAGCCACTGAGCGCATCCGCTGGTGACCGCAGGCAAACAGACACGTGGTCAGCATCTGACGAAAAAACACGAAAACCTACAGAGGATTGTGAGGTTTCACCAGTCAGATGTCCTCTACAGCTTTAATATCATGGAGGCTCAAGGAACTCTAGGCCCAATGTGTTTCAGTTTAATTTATTTGGTATAGCCCTGTGAGCCATTCGGCTCTTGAATCGGGCGCAACCGCAACAAACAAAAAACAAAAACATGAACAAGAAAACATCTTAAAGTGACTATGTGCAAACAGAAAAATCCAGGAAAAAACTGCAAAGTCTTCCAGAAAAAAAGCACCGTACACCAACGCTGTGCAAAAATCCCAGTGGGATGCAAGTCAAACAACAACAACAACCACAAGACAACTTAGATTAAAGCCATCATTCTAACTCCGTACTACAACAAACAAACATGGCCAAGCCAAAAAACTTTTCTAAATCAAATGTGAAGATAGCAACGTCAGAAAATAAGTTCTGAGAGTGGCAAGTGGTCCACATGGATAAACAGTGGTCTCCTTCGATTGCAAATCATAACTGTGTGGGTAGAGGTGGGCAATGAGCTGCAGAGTTTAGCAGCACACACATGGAGGATGAGGCATGTATGCCCATGATACAAATCACACCAATGCCATTTGCAACACACTAAACCAAGGTGGTCCAATAACCCCCATAATCCACATTGGCACAGGGAGACTCCCATCCAGTGGTGAATGAACACAGAGCCGTAAATGTCAATGTACAGATGTTGAGGTGTAGGTTTGTGCCACAAACACATGCCTGCATGTTTTGTTAAGTCCTCTTAACTGTGCCCACGTTGTGAGTGAGCTGCTGCTCTTTGCTTTTACCTGGACGTTCCTCATCCCTTAGTGTGTTCACAGTCACCTGAGGATCATTCCAAAAATATCAAGATTACTCACAACACACACAGCTGAGCTACCATTATAGTTTCACGTGATCATGTCCCAACTTCGATGGTAACCCCGAGTTTAACTGACATTAATATGCACAGGGCTTGAGTCGTTATAGAAAATTCGTGAATGTTAAATTGCGGCAGCATATCACACCTCTGGATTAATTTCGGGCTGGCGCTCTGTTACAGGAAGAGAAACATTAAACCAATTAATACACAAATGATTGCATGCGTACTCTTAAACGAATGAAACAGATTATGCGTTTAACCTCAAAGTGTTTCCACATGAGCACTGAGCTGTGCTCATCTTTGCTGATGATCCTAAGACAGTCGTGGAATTCCCCATTACCATGGCAAGAGCCGGTCTCCATCGGATGAACACTGTTGGCTTAGCCATAACGTGGTACTCATTTTATCTATCCTTGAGATATGGTGGGCTGAGCTGATGTCTGAGAGATATTTTAATTTGCAACCTTTAAACTGCGAGTCATATACTACAACCATCGGTCACCTTGGCAGGCTATGACCATTAACTAACACCATGTAAATGTATCACAAAGCCACCAAGAACAACACAAAGTATGGTTGTGTTGGTGTACAACCTTACTCTTTTTGGGTTTCTGTGCCTGCTGAGTGTTTGAATGCCCTTCACTTGAAATGGCTTCTGTCACTTCTGCAACCTCAGCCTGCAAGCAGCAACAGAGTAATTGAAGAAAGCAGACTGATTAACGAGATTATACATATGTAAGCACAATAGAGCTGGACTTAAAGCTTTCGTGACTACAGGAATTCATATTATTTGGGTCTTTCGGTAAAGTCACATAGATAGGTTCAAATTAATAAAAATAAAATAAACTACGACGTTTCGATCACAACACAAACGATGGTCATCCTCCTTTTTATTCATTTGCACCTATCTACGTGACTTTACCGAAAGACCCAAAGAACACAATAGAGCTACCATTATAGTTTCACCTTCATAAGGGCTCATCAGCAAGTCATACCCAGCTATAGACTGCTATGGATGTTGAGAATGGTACAGGGAAACTAAAAGATTAAAACTTTTTTTTTCTTTCTTTGTGCCATTTTTGGTTAATATCACTAAAGTGTGGACCAACTTTAATAAGTCATGAATTCACTAAAATTGCCTTAAAAAAGGTTAAAGAGAGAATCTAGGGCCCAGGATTGGTTCAGATATCACTCGTCACTGATGACACCTGTGGCTGGGAATCGAACCACTGCTCCCTCTGCTAAGAATCTCCTCTATCGTGGAGACTCAAACTTTAATAAACAAAATAAATAGATGGTATGTGTAACACCAGTTCACAAAGGTGAGCTTCTGGACAACAGGAATTGGACCGATGTTGTTGAAATTATGCATTCCCAGAAGGCCATGTGGCTGATGAGATGTGTAGAATGTCGAGGGGCAGATATGCGAAGGTGTTGTCTGCTTCTTTATCAATGTATGGTTTGTGTTTTCCTTGAATAAGGCTTTCTCTAATCTTGTGAAGGAATTAATGCTCAGGCGTGCTGATCGTTGGCACGTACATGCTTATTCTTGTTCGGCTGGGCGTACATCTCTGACAAATCCTGACGGATGGCTGAGCTCTCTCCCAGGTTGCCTTGTGAGTCGGGGTCTGGAGACATCGTCTTTGCGCGAGACTCCACTGCTGTTGTAACACAAATGTAAAAGGGCACATTCTCGTGAATCAAATGATGCCTCTGGGCACAATGGCTCCAAAGACGCACATCTGCAATTTGCCTTTTTGCACTATCCTGTAGAGAAGACGTCAAACCCGAGGCATAAGTACAATTCTAAATTATTAAATTGCGATGCCTTGTAAGGGTATATTATTAGTTCTGTTTATCATCAGTTCAACCGGATTTTTACTACAAAAATCTGAATGACTTGGGATACTTTGACTGAGCCCACGTGACTCAAACAACATGAGGTTATGTCCTGATTAGCAGATGGTTTTTTTTTATGTAAATTACTACATGAGTTACAACATGACTTGCAAATTGAGCGGTATTTTTTGATCACTGTGGAACATTACAATTAATGGCAGCTGCAGAGGTCCTTAATTAATTTACGAATACATATTTATTTTACCATTGTGAAGTTTTATGATATGACTATTGAGTTAATGAACTGTAATTGTCAGTATTATCTTGGTTTAGAACAGGATTTTGTATATGATCCGAACAATGTGATCGAATCAGCAACCTCTGGATTGCAAGTCCCGACTGAACATCTGTGAAAAAGAGCTTCATAGCTCATCGGATTCCTCCACCCAGACAGATCCCGACCAGAGCATGTACGTGTCACATTTAAGTTAGTAGTTTTGGTGATCATGTACAAAACGTGTTTTCTGCTGAAGCACCTTGACTTCTGGACGTCTCCTCGCCATCAGAAAGTGGAACTTCAACTCCGTCCAGGTATCTTTGGAAAATATGAAAAGAGAAGACATGGTATCAAAGTGGACATTTTGATATACCTGTTTATGGGAATGAAAACTATGAAATTTGTTACATTTGCATTTAAAATGATTGAAAATGTCTGTAAACAATCAATAAAACTGTGATTACGTGCTTTGGTCTAAAAACCGTGGCTTTGAAAGTATAGCTTTAAAAAAGGCTACTCAACAAGAGTCTGGCTCTCCAATGTGTGCTTGCATTGTATCACATGTTGTTCAGCATAATGTTCGACGTTTCCCTCCACTTGCTGGAAGCTTCTTCAGAAACTGGAGGTTCCATGAAACCGAATTTTACGATTCGGTCTCAGGAACTATTCAGTTCCTAAAGAAGGTTCCAGCATGTGGAGTGAAACATCGGACATCACGCCGGGCAACACGTGCTCCAACCCTAAATCAGAAGGGCAACAAACTTACTGGCCAGTAGGGCCGTACGGCTCCACGATGCTGTACGTGTCCGAGAAGGACCAGGAGCGAGGCCGTTGACTTTGCAGATTCGCCAGGGGCATGCCCACGACACGTCCCGTCATCGATGACACAAACACGGCCGCTGCCAGGGCAGAGCTGGGATACACACATGGCCACACAGGTTAACGGTTGGCGATGGATGGCCCATCTTCTGCTGAATGGTGGTGGTGACAAAACCACCGTGATCAATGCTCTGAAATAGGCCACTGCCTTAAATATTGTTCCGGCAAAAAAAAAAGCATACGTTCATATAATTATGCATGCATTTAACAGTTGATAGATTGATAAATTAATACTGATTTTCATTCTATAATGTATTCTTCGTGATATGTAAGAATAAATGTAAATGCGGATGTTAGGATAACAAAAAAATAGACCTCATATCAGTGCTGCGGTGAATATTGTTACATAGCTAATATATTTAGCATGTGCTTAATGAACAAAAAGCAAAATTGTCCAGTTATCTGTATGCATATTACTCATTTGGTATTTAGTACAGAATATTTTGTGCTCACATTACTAATGGGGCACACACCATAAGATATTTTATGAAATTTAGGAAACACTAGATTTTATTTAGATACACATTTTGTGCAGTGCTTATTACAATTGAAACAGATTGTTTAGTGATAAAATGGATACATGTTTATCAGAATGTCAATTTGTTGTGTTTAATTGAACTGCATGTGCACTCCTGAACAAGCAAAGATTGTGCCAGTGCTTTATGGCTTAATGTTTTGTTAACCATAAAATTGTGCACACATTAGCAATTCATATCAGCCTGGTCTATTCGAGTGAGCCTTCCAGAAGATTTTTCCACACCCAGCACACCACATCAAGTATATGGCTGTGGCTACTTACAGGCCACCGTGGTTCTGTCTAAAGTCCACTCTAGAAAATATTCAATGTGAAATGAAGCCCTGGCACATCCCATATTCTGCTGCATGAACCACCATGAATGTGCGGTTACTAAATGCCACCAAGAAGTGCCCTGCTCGTGTGCCCTCAATGCTGGCCATGTTGTACTGGGGTTTGCGGCGAAGGATGTTTTCCGGGACGCGCGGCGACGGGGAGATGGGCACGGCCGGGAGAGGAGCCAGCGTGAGTGCTGGACCAAGCCCAGCACAGACATGTTTCTAGAAGTAACAGAAGGAATAATCATTGTCAGCCACGTTCAATGCATTGGTGGATAAAGGCCTCTCCAAGCCGTCACGGATATATTACGTTTCTCTAAGTAACAGAAGGAATATGACGTCTGCCTTTGACTCATCATGTCCCTGTATTGCCTATGGCTCAATCACCCAGAATACAGGTAGTCCCCGAGTTACGATGGTCCGACTTACGATATTTCAATCTTACGATGGTGACAGCGATATGACAAAATTGCCATCAACAACCTAACATCGTTCAAGTATGCAGACGACGGATAGAATCTTGGTGAGTACAGTACAATATGATACGTTACGATACGTTCAATGCATGTGCGATTTCATTTTAGTGTTACCACGATACGATACGTTCAATGCATGTTAAAAGTTTTTTATAGGAGATAGGATTATTTCCTGAAAAAACTTTCTATTAAATTGCAGTTCATATAGAGAGGCTAAGAAGTTACCTTTTTTTTACTTTACATTTTACTATGCAATACAGTATTGTAATTAATAAATGCATACAGTATATAGTTTATACAGTACGGTACTGTAAATTGCTCTGTTTTGCTAAATGAGCTCCATTCTTTAAGACTTCCGGGTAGGCTAGGCCATCTTCGATTTACGATATTTTTGACTTACGAGAGGGTCGTCGTAACGCATCTCCTTCGTAAGTCGAGGACTACCTGTATTCCCGATCTCATTAAACCTCAGAAGCGAAGCAGGGTTGAGCTTAGAACAGGTGTTGTTAGACTGTTGCAGGACTACACTGTCAGCATTTACCATTGTTGGACTGTACTATGCTCCCTGCCTACCCCAACGCTACCTGCCTACCCCAACACCAACGACACGCGCAGTGTGGGGAGGTACTCATCCAGCAGTGAATTGACAAAAGGGCTGTACATGTACACACGTGTATCACTGTACTCAAGTGACATATGGGTGAGGCATGTGCGCAGTGGTGGAGCAGCACATGACAGGTTACCAAGGCGGGCACTTGAGTGACACCCAGAGGTTGGCTTCCAAGGAGAAGACTTAAAGGCAGATGCCATGGTGAGATAGATGGTGCAAGAGCAGACCTTGGATGATGGGTAAATGTTTTAAACCCACGAGACAACCTTGAAGAAAGCGATGCTGGCATCATTCTGTGTGTACTCAGCAATACCTTTCTCAACTTTGTTCACCGAGTGTTTACCAATAGCCTTATTCGTAACGGTAGGTTTCCACCAAGATAGTGAAGTGTAAAGAGGGCTAAGGGGCCGTCCATAAATGACGTCACGCGATTTTGGACGATTTTTGACCCCCCCCCCAAAATAAAAAAAAAATGCTTCAAATCGCTTTAAACTATTGTCATTGTAGTGCGTATTTAATGTGGCGCTGCACTCTGATGTTGTAGGAGAAAACATTTATTAAAACGTCTATTTAATGAAGTAGAACGTATTGTCTATATTTATTTAAAGTTACGCATTTTGATGTGACGTCACATTTCTCCCCTTCCCCTCGTCACAAATGTCTCATCCCCTCCCCTAGGTGCGTGACGTCATTTATGGACGGCCCCAAAGGCTTGGGCATATTAATCCTGAAAGGTGTTATTACAGTACTACAGTACGGTATAACATCAGCGATGGTGCAAACGAAGGAGGATGAATGACCGTGGGCTCTCAGACTTCGGTTTAACCGCTCAACTTATAGACAACATTTTCCCGCGACTAAAAAGCGTGATTAGCTGACTAATTAAAGTCACTGTTGTTCCTACACTGCGATAAAAGAACATCACGTACTGTACACAAATGACAGTGCCTCAACACGCTCTCAATAGCTCCTCATCGTTGACGGACATTGCACATTTCGACAAGAGACGTGTCAGAACTTCCACGGGACAACACACTGCTGCTGGCTTCGCACAAGTTTTGTTTATTTTCTCCAACCGAATGAAATGAAAGTAAACGCAGCGCGAACGTTAATTTCGCGGCGAATGTGTAAACAACAACAACAACACCACCACCTCCACGACGGGCGATAAACAACGCATTTACAACCGCACGCGACTTACAAACTCCCACTTGCTTTTGCCTTTGGAGAACATTGCGAGCGTCTCACGCCGAGACGGACACGAGGCGAACGAGTCGCGTCGTCGTCGTCGTCTCGTTGCGAACGAAACGCGACGAACGAACGAATGAATGAAGTCGTCGCCCCGTGACGACCGTACCTGGTTGCCATGGCAATGGCTTCCGCGTTGCCAAGCGAGAGCTTCCCATTGGTTCAGCGTCGCGTGGGGAGTGGGGGTGGGGGGTGGGAGATTGACCAATGGGAAGGCGTCGTTGCCGGGCTTCGTTGTTTAATTATAAATTTGAAATTTTTTTAAGTTTTAACATTTTTTTTAAATCATGGGACATCCCTTACCAGTATTAATAATATATATCTAAGAGTAGATTTTACCCTTTTTGGCTGTCTCTGGTGTGGACCTATCCGTTTCAGAGACAATGCACATACTATCAGAGCATGTTTTTTGTTTGCATGTTCGACACAAGTAAATGTGGTTAATGCAGACGTGATTCCTTGCTAATAAGGTTTGGTGTTGTAGGGGGCCGTCCATAAATGACGTCAAGCGATTTTGGACGATTTTTTGACCCCCCCCCCCCTATTCACACGGCGTCACAAAAAGTCATACACCCCCCCCCTCTCTCAAATATGACGTCACAAAGCTCTGCCCCCCCCAAAATAAAACATGCTTCAAATCGCTTTAAACTATTGTCATTGTAGTGCGTATTTAATGTGGCGCTGCACTCTGATGTTGTAGGAGGAAACATTTATCAAAACGTCTATTTAATTAAGTAGAACGTGTTGTCTATATTTATTTAAAGTTTGTGCATTTTGATGTGACGTCACATTTCTCACCCCCCCCCCCCTCGTCACACATCGTCACAAATGTCTGACCCCCCCCCCACCCCCCAGGTGCGTGACGTCATTTAGGACGGCCCCTTTACACACGACTCGCTTACGTGCGCGCACACAACTGTGCTTACTGCACGTGTCCACTGCAATGCGTCACGTGTACACGCTGCACGTGTGCGCATTGCGAATGCAATAACTGCACGTGAATACGCTCAACATGAAGACGTCGTCACGGCCCAAAGCCAGTGACGGATGCCAACCCAATGGTGCCAGGTGGTTGCGGACGGAGTCTCGAGCGAAGGGCATGGAGACGCTGCAACAACACCCTCAGCGAAGTGTCACAAGAGGGCGCAGCGTATACTGTAATCGCAGCCAATGCCGGATTATACTGGTAGGAATCTCCTGGTTACACCAGCCCACAGGGGATTATTGTGTCCGTCGTGCAGGGAGGGGCTGGGTGGGGATGAAGGGGTTGGGTGGGGAGGGGCTGGTCACCCCGTGGTGCCCTTATACAACTCAAACGTTTAACCTACTCACGCCGGCTTGTGCCCGCCCTCACATTCGGGCATATTTGAGGAATACACCACGCCGCCGTTGACCCTGACCATTGACCGAGCAACCCAACGTTCCTACCAGCTCCCTCCGCAAGAATGTGTTATATCGTGCCCCGTACTTTCAAGGGCCCTGCGCTAAATGCTTTCAAGCTTTCAATTCAGGTTCAGTGGATTCTGCACTTGCTCTATTACTATAGTACTATACTGCCTTCAACTTTTTTTGAATCGACTGGTGTTTAAGGTTAGCGATTTGTCGTATTATCTGGCTGTATAGCAAAGGAAAAATACAATTACTTTGCTATGCAAGTAAAACATGTATGTGTTTTAATATTGATGGTTTTTGGGCCCCTTTATAACATATGCTACAGGCCCCGAACTAGCTTAATCCGGCACTGATGGCAGCATCGTCTGAGAAATTACCTCACCAACGAGAATATTAATAGGACTAGGACCCTCTCGTAGGGTAGATATGGGGTCCTTGCCTATAATATTGGCAGTTCATCGGCATTTGTCCGAGCAAAGCAGGACTCTTGATGCGATGAGACACTTGGGTGTCTACACCGGTGCTTAGTTTTGCTTGTCCTCAATCAATGCTGCTGAAATTGTGCACTTCCAGAAGGCCCTGCGGCCAATGGGATGTGTAAAACATATATACGGTAATTGTTTACGCGGAAACGGATATGCGAAGACGTATTGTCTGATGTTTTATCTTGGTACAATAGTAATAATAACTTTTGTTGTTGTTGTGAGAATATAAGTAACAACGTCCCCCACATATCCGTCACACATCACATCAGCCACAGGGCCTTCTGGGACGTGCAGGAACCTCATGTCGAAAAACCCCCAAAAAACTCAACACGATCGTCAATAACACTTTGGCTTTGAAATGAAACGTCTTTAATAGGCGACGTTTTAGGCAATGTCCCTTCTTTATAAGACACGAAAAGAGAGGCCAGAGATATAGAATGATAAGAGTTTCAGACTGCACTTTATAACATGAGGTGATGAGTGGGTATCAAGTAGCAGACGACTCCTTCAGTAACCAAACATTTATTACTAAATAAACCAACTAATTTGTTGTTAAAAGTAAAATAAAAATGTTTGTTGGCACATTACACTATGGGTATAACTGCTACAGGAAGGTCAACTAGAGAAGCCCTGATGAAAAATGATCAAAAGTATCCAAAAACACCCTACAATCAGTAACTTTTTACTACATTGTGTTTTAATATACAAGTCGAGTACTTTTAATGTTTCCAATAATTGAAGTAAGCAGACAAAACCCCTTATAAAATTAAATGTCCAGTAATGATATTTGATATGTTTTTATTTAACTAAATGTAAGGGATTTGGAGAACATCTACTGTATACCACTGTAGGGTTCCACAATGTTCTATTCTTGCGCATGATGGCAATATGTTCAGAAGCTGACTGCCAACGTCGAGTTCTGTGAGCCACGAGAGGGCTTCAGGAGGGGAGTTCGTGTACTTTTGCTGTTCCTCCTCCGTTGAAAGAAGCGCATACCACAGTGGTTCACTATAGTTTGGGATGCAGGAGGCTTCTGAACAGTGGAGGGCATCTCAACAACCTTGCCTGGCCCCATTCCCCTCTGGTCACTCGATACCGCCCTCACATCTTTACAAGCCTAAGGAGAGCAGTGGACAGCACAGCTGATGGACATGGGTGGAATGTAACCGACTGCTGCACGTGATGGTAATGGGTCTTCTGGGGACGTTTCAGTGAGGGAATAGTCAGACCCAGACCTGTAGATTAAATAAGATCACAGGGAAATCAAGGCTACGTGTGTCCGTGCTCAAATGAATGTTCATCCCTTTTGGCACTCGTGAGTGATTTGTGGAAGTTCCACATACATGTGGCAGGATCTCAGTCTCTCCACAATAAACCATCTGCGCAGGAGAGATGATGGGATGAGTTGACCCCTTACTGGGGTTTGAACTTCTGATTGTGAGAAATTTCTGACATTGTGTATTGATAAACTGTAATATGTTTGTTGGGGTAGAAGCCAGTGTTGCAAGGGGTTGACAGGCAGTCTTTGGGGAAAGCTGCATAAGTGGGTGGTAAGTTGTGAGTACTGGAAGCCATGTGGT